GGGAGGCACCTGCCTTCAGGAAGTAATGTTTTTAAAGAAAGTGTATAGACTTTATTATCAAAAATAAAAATTATTTTGAGAACGTCTGTTTTTTGGGTTGGCAAAGGGATTAGCGGAAAGAGTTCACTATTTATTATTAAATATAAATTTAATTTTTAAATTATTATTATTTTATATAATAAAAAAAAATTTTTATAGTAAAAATTTTAAAAATTATAATTGATCTATTGTTACATATGATTTTTACTCAAGATTTACATTGCCCTTATATTACTTTTTGCTTGCATTTACCCTTGTAATATTGTCTATTCTAGAATAATCTTTGTACTACTGATCTATGTTTTCACTGCCTTTACCTTCATCATCTTTATTACCTATATTACCTTTAGAATCTTCTATTACTTTATTATCTTTATTATCATATATACCTTCGCTAGAGTATTTCCCTGTACTTGCTGTAAGTATGTTAACTGCTTTAATGAAGATAACATCTATTTTATCAATATTATCACTATTATCTATTATGTACTCCAAAATATGTATATAAATATCTCCAATTCCTCCTGGAATTGCAAAGTTGAACTTTCCTTTTTATTAATAAAATAACTTGACCTTTACAAAATAAATCACCATTGCCTTTTTCGCTTGACCTCATCCACCTCAGAACTGTACTTATTTTAGTACACCCTTATGAACTTTAGCATACCACATTGGTCCATCCATACAAAGTGTCTTCCTGCTACTAGTTCTCCGTCTATATCTTTCTCCTGAGATAGGAAGATATATAACAAATTGGTGGTGACTGTAAGATATGCCTTATCCATTAGACACAAGTTTGAATCAGGTCCCAAAAATGGAATGCTCTTTGATTGCCACCCCTGAAAAATTGCCCCTAAGGAAGTTTGATCTTCAAGGAGCGACGAAAGCGACGTTGTATCTGCAACGATCGGTGAAATGAAGACCAATTCTGCTTCAACAATGATACTCAAGAAGAATTCGGCTGCTGGTATATGCCGAATGAATGAAGAAGCATTGTCCTGACCTAAAAGAAGTCCAAATCCAATGATAGAAGCTCTGGAATGGCTTGCATAGAAGAAAAGCAAAGCCTAAAGAATGACAATCACGGGATCAGCGGTATATGCACCTCCCCCTAAAAAAAAAATTAAATTAAATTAAATTAATGAAAAAATAATGAATATATGAATGATGTCCCAAAGAAGAGAAGTCTACTCTCGATCCATGACAAGTCATAAACCCCGAAGAAGCAAAAAGAATAATAAAAGCGGCACAAGATGGAAATGAAGACGGAAGAAAGCAAGGAGTTTGAAACATGAAATAAAGATGTGATAATACTTATGATGATTGGAATTGAAATAGGTTATTTGTGTCGACCTTGAAATTCTTATTACTTTCAACAAGAATTTGACATATCGATGCATTTATCAATTGTTCCTTCATGTGTTAATGAACCAGAGGATTTCGTACAATCCACGCCGATCCTTGTGACAAAATCTGTTGATAATAATGCAACAACGAAGATTCTAGTTCTAAGGATGGTAAGAATGAACATGCAGAATCAAAAAATGAAACATAACTACAATATCAAAGAGGAGAGAGGAAAGAGACTGCATACCTCTTAACAAGTCATCAGTTCTAAAGATTATGCTGGGATATCAACAATCACAAAAGTCATAATGCTGAAAGAAGCTACAGACAAGTACTTAAAGAAAGAAGAACCATCTGTAAAGAAAAAAATGGCAAAGAAACCAGAAGTCAAAGAACAAAAACTTACTGACGAGATTCTGGTAGCTCATGCCAGGAACAATAGATATCGCCAAGGGTCAAGGAGAACTTGTGGATGGCAAATCAAATGTGAAGCATGGGGCTAGGGAAAGACTAATAAGAAAAAGTAAAAGCCAATGGTAGAATGCCACAAAAAGAAAGAAAATGCCACAACTTATCAGAATTATATCAAGACAAGAGAATACGACCAAGACCGACAATTGGCAATGCCAAAGTGCCATCCTGATTGTGATCACAATCACGATTGTGAAGAAAAAGTTTATCATATGAAGTCTGCAAATGATAAGCACACCTAGAATATATATACATGCATATATATTCTCAAAGATGTTAGAGCAGCAAGGAAAGTCTAACACTTCGACAAGCCCCCATCATAATAAATGACCGATGAGAGATATACCATTTTGACGATTGAAATACTGGGATAAGACTGCGAAAAAGGCACCAACGTGAAAAGAAAAAAAAAAAAATAGTTAGAGAAAGAACTAACCATACACAACAGCTGAAACACAATGAAAAGCTTATCTCACCTTCTGAAGATAATAGCTTCAAAGATCAAATGCCAGGATGCTATCATAATCGTGATCATAATCATGATCACGATTGCTCACAAGAAATTATGAATGTCACCACCATTACAAAGAAGATAACAATACCAAAGAAGAGGAATGAAAGTAAGACAATACCAGAACCAGAAGCAACCACGTACGCAAAAAAACCACTTACCTTTGATAAGACGCTGGCCCGAAGAGAAACAATTCCGGGATGCAGAATGGCAGAGAAATCTAACTATAGCCAGAATTCTGGCCTCAAGAAAGATATAAGGAAATGGTGGAAGAAGAATTGCATCATACAATTTCCAGACGAATATGCAGAGAAGTTGACCGAAATCATCGATTACGAATAGCTAATCACAGTACTGCATTTGATTCAAAGTTCGTTTACAGCTACGTCTCCATCCAATATACTGCCGACATTTGTATCTATGGTATATACTTCGTCATCATCTAAATGACCCCGTGAAATAGAATCAGCTACTCAATTAACAAAGCATTCTCGTGTCAAATCTTCTACAAATGTTTATCCACAAATACAAACAGTATCAAAGTAACCTGAAGTCGTTGCTCCTAAGAAATTAAAGAACAGTAAACTGACTGTCGCATGGTCCCTGGAGTTGGCGACGATTTATTCCTTGACGCAATTTGTCGGAATCGATACTGTAAAGGCATTCCTATCTGAAATAAAGCCCACGAACCTGAAGTTCCTTAAGAATAATGTCAACAATAGAATACCGAAATGCCACCATGATCACGATCACGATTATGATCGTGCCCCGGAGATGATGATGACACTGCAACTCCAACTGCTATTGATGATGATGAAAAAGAGAAAGAAAGCCTATAGAAGAGCTTATCACTGCCACATTAAGACTTACAAAGACCTATAAGATATATGGTTAACATATACTTCGACACCATAAAAACCCACTAGTATACACTCTTGCCTGCCAAGATTAAACTGCACTGCACTATCAAGATTCTATAAATAAAGACAAAAGTGAAATTAATAATTATCTTTATACACTTTTAATTATTCTTACCTTTTTTTTACAATTCCTTTATGATTCCTTTGTTATTTCTTTGATTATCCCCACATTTTATTAGCATTAATAACACATATATCATTTTATTTCTTTATTTTAGACTTGAGAAAATATTATTATTTGCTTGGATAATTTCATAAAGTCATTATATAGCTGTAGATGACCTTGATTTTTAGGAATCCATAGCATATACTGGTTAAAGGCTGGTCAGTTATGAAGTACAAAATTGTAGTAGAATGATGTTTGAGGCTATAGCATTTTATGAAATTATCAAAGTGATTAATACTATTCTTTCATTCATTTTACATAAATAATATACTTATTTTTATTTATTCACAAACATTTTTAATTTTATTAAAATTTTATTATTTTATTATTATCATTATTACTTTTACATTTTAATAAGAAATATTGAAATTTTGAGATATCCTTTGGCTACTGTATGAAATATAGCACCCAGGCTATACGATGTGGACATAGATACCATAATAGCCCAGTCCTCAACTTGCCCAAACACAAGTATTATTGAACCCTTGAAGTGAAGAAAGGAATCTGAAAACTAAGACACAAGCAAGAAATATAGTGTAATGAAAAGGGCCCACTAAGCTCTCCTCTTTCATTACAGCCAGCCCACAAAGCATACTTAGCGACTATTGTATTTCTTATAATGAATTTATAAAGCTGGATTGAATGAAACAAATACCAAGGTTAAAAAAAGGCAAACTTTTAATTGAATTCAAAGGTGGAAAAGATCAATTAAAAAAAGCTGGTACAAGATTTCCTAATAAAATAAAAAAATATGACAACAAAATAACCGGCCAGAACCCTAGCTCCAGTGTGTCATTTTTCTTATTAGTAGCAATTGTTTTATCCAAAAATAATTCTTTATTTAAAAACAAAATTCTTACACATTATTATTATTATTATTATTATTCCTTCTTTCTTGTTCTTCTTGATAACTGAGAGGACAAGATCCAGGATTTCTTTCTGAATTTAATTGCATCCAGTTTGGACTAAGTTTATATTCATATCCAATAAGCATGCCATCTCTGTCATATGGAGGACAATATTGTTTTTCCCAAGGACCATCCATGTAAACCCAGGAATTTGTGTTAGGACTTGAAGTTCTTCGGCAATGAAGGAGTTCCCTTTTTAATTCTTTATTTCTGGATTCAAGTTTAGCAATACGACGTCAAAGAACATCAATAATATCTGATCGAGTTTGACTCACAGCCAAATAATTAATACATTCTTCTTTAAGTATAGTTATTTTCTCTAAAACCGTTTCCAACTTTTGTTCCGACCTGCGCAAACATCTTTGCAAATATTTGACATGTTCTTTCAAGTAATTGACTGTAATTTCCAATGGATTTTTATTGGAGGAGCGAGTAATGGGATAACTTCTGAACATAATAATAACAAACCTAAAATGAAAAAAAAAAAAGGAGAAAAAAATCAGTACTCAATGTTAAAACAAGGAATAATTAAAAAAAAAATTAGATACCTTGGACAAACAACACGCAAAAATCTTTGAAAAATGATAGTGAAACTTGCACTTGAAAAGTTTAGTAATATTCAAACAAAAATTAATTCTTAAATATTAAATTATTTGAGAAACTGATAAAAACAAAAAGTTCTTTTAGCCGCTATGAATCTGCAACTTGAAATTCACCTCACCATTATATACTATTTAAGGAAAACAAGCATACGAGCAAACTTGAATGGATTGACCTAATATAGTTAGGAGAGATAATCATTTAACATGTGAAATCTGAATGAATGACATGAGAAAAAATTGATTGACACCTGATAAAGGAAAAATCATATGAAAAAACTGTAGGAAAAACTTTGTTCAGTATTGAAGATATTTACAACAATGGACAATCTGTAATTTGTGAATTCAAAGGTCTAACAAAGAGAATATCAGTAGTGGATACAAAAGTAATATTGAATATATAAGTCTTGAATCATGTGGCAAGCACAGTAAATCTTGCTAAGCATGTTAACATTTGAGTATCAGCTATATGTGAAAGGGAAATTGCATGGTCATATGAGTCTATGCAATGATAATCCCAAAAATGACAAATCTGAGAAAAATGAGATATCTGTAATATATTTCTTTTATTTGATTTCTTTGATTTCTTTTAGATATTTAATATAGTTGAGAAATTAGATATATTAGCGATAGTTGAGATAATTGAGATAGTTTAGATAGTTGATATA